CATCAATCTCCCCATCGGATGGAGTCTCCTACAAACACTTTTGCTAATTACTGTTGTAGCCGGCATATTTCTAATCGAGGAAGTCTTACTGGAGTCAATATTTTGCCTTTCAGCACGTCCATATTCACGTGCTTCCTCGAAAAGCGGGAGATTTCGGCCGAAATGATGACATCTACGATGCTGTGAGTTTTGTGTTCATTTTACGGTCATTTGAAGTTACGGGCAACTCCTGTTAATACTTATGCTGGCACTAAGTGCTGTTACGAGATGCCTTGCCAAAAGACCAATGAAGTGGCCATCGCTCGGCTACCCTGAAGAACCCCTTGCACCCATTTAGAAAATTGACAAGTAGTTTGTAGCATAAAGCAGTTTTTCGGATAAATGCGTATATGTGGTCAGTGGAGCTTCAGAAGAGCCTAAAGCTTAACATATAATAGTTGAGGGCGTTCGCAAACCGGTCGTTAGACGGTACGGTACGCTCTGGTCGTCTCTGCATGTAATCCCGCTGTTTTTACGAGGGTAAGATTCAGAGATCTTTTCAAAAGTCCATTCAACATCCGGTTAACTGAAAAGTTGCGTGGGTCGTCTAGGAGAGACAGTTTTCTGCGAAAATGAACGATGTCCTCTACCTCTTTGCCTTAGTCATCACCATTACTGCCAGCGCCGTCATCATCATCACAGTTCAAGCCCTAAACATTGAATCTTTCAAACAGTTGCCCGCGACAGACTGGTCTCCATATATAAGCAAAAGTATCAGGAAAGTGTTCAGGTTCACGAGCGAGAGTTTTGGAAGTGAAAATCTGCGAGTTTCAAATGGCCGCCGGAGAAAATTTGTCTAATTGTTGACGTTTCAACATAATATCAGCAGCTCTACTTCTGCAGAAAAAGCGCTCTAGCGACGTTTCCTCTACCTACCATAGGTTTTAACTCAAGCCTGTAACCGATTATCTTGTTGCGCATCGCGTGTTTTAAAAATGGTTTGTGGACAAGGAGCCTTGGGTTTGTACGGCATCGTCTAGTTTTTTATTTGGACAAAATAATTCCAGCCAGGTTTGCTCATCTAACATAAAACCAAGCAAAATTGTTAAAAAGCGGACAATTGTGAGTCATGTCTCTGCCTTGGGCTTCTCGAAAGAAACTTTTATTCATTCTGACCAATTTTGTTGATATTTTGTGACCGGCTTAATACAGGGTTATCTGATCCTTCTCTTTGTGATTAACAGGGGGTGGTTTGTCTACATTTATGCTTCTGAATTTTTATTTTCTTATGCCGATGCGTGTGATTATTTTGTTGTTGTTTTTGAGCTCCAAGCACTTACCTTTTACATTTTAAATCTAGCTGGCAGCTCATGACAAGGTCGCCAACCGGAAATACCGTTCTGCCGAAGAGATGGCCGCGGAGGCACTCATTTTCAGGAAGTTCTTCTACGACGACAATGGTCAGCCCTTGCCCTGCTCTCAGTGCTCCTAGTGACTTAATCAGATTTTTTTATTAACAGTCCAACTGAGGCAACCCCTTTATGCTCTCGTCGATAAAGCCTGATTTACAGAAAACCGGCCTTCTTTTATAATTCTAGCATTTATTTCGATTAGGCATGTTGAATGCTGCCTCACCGTTTTTTGGCGCTGTCGGCAACTAGGAATGCGATTGGCCCATGAGTTCAGTGGTGCATGTGTTGAACCTCAGCAGAGGTGCGTAGATGGAACTTCGATTAGCCACTTCCCCGAGCTATTCCTATATACTGTCCAATTTTGTCTTGCAGTTCCCATCATTGGTG